TAATGCTTTAGATACATAAGTCACAGAATATTTCTACTCCTAATGTGGGATATTTTTGAGAATAGCAGATGAATATCGTCGAAATGCCCTTTTATACGTTTTTTGCTAAGTTTCGAGATTGTTTTCTTTATATCTTTTGAACTAATATGGATGCGTATTATTTTCTAAATTCCATAGACAAGTAAATTTATTGTACTTTAATGCACAACAAAAATATTTTTACTCCTAATGTGGGATATTTTAGAGAATCGCAGATGAATACGTCGAAACGCCCTTTTATGAGTTTTTCGCGAAGTATCGAGATTGTTTGCTTTATATCTTTCGAACTAATATGGATGTACCTGGTTTTCTACATTCTAAAAACAAGTCAATTTAATTTACTTTAATCTACAATAAAAATATTCCTACTCCTAATGTCGGATATTTTAGAGAATCGCAGATGAATATCGTCGAAATGCCCTTTTATACGTTTTCGCTAAGTTTCGAGATTGTTTGCTTTATATCTTTTGAACTAATATGGATGCGTAATATTTTCTACATTCTAAAGACAAATAAATTTAATATACTTTAATGTACAATAAAAATATTTCTACTCCTAATGTGGGATATTTTAGAGAATCGCAGATGAATACGTCGAAACGCCCTTTTATAAGTTTTTCGCAAAGTATCGAGATTGTTTGCTTTATATCTTTTGAACTAATATGGTTGCGCCTGGTTTTCTACATTCTAAAAACAAGTCAATTTAATTTACTTTTATCTACAATAAAAATATTCCTACTCCTAATGAGGGATATTTTAGAGAATCGCAGATGAATACGTCGAAACGCCCTTTTATAAGTTTTTCGCAAAGTATCGAGATTGTTTGCTTTATATCTTTTGAACTAATATGGATGCGCCTGGTTTTCTACATTCTAAAAACAAGTCAATTTAATTTACTTTTATCTACAATAAAAATATTCCTACTCCTAATGTGGGATATTTTAGAGAATCGCAGATGAATACGTCGAAACGCATTTTTATAAGTTTTTCGCAAAGTATCGAGATTGTTTGCTTTATATCTTTTGAACTAATATGGATGCGCCTGGTTTTCTACATTCTAAAAACAAGTCAATTTAATTTACTTTTATCTACAATAAAAATATTCCTACTCCTAATGTCGGATATTTTAGAGAATCGCAGATGAATATCGTCGAAATGCCCTTTTATACGTTTTTTGCTAAGTTTCGAGATTGTTTTTTTTATATCTTTTGAACTAATATGGATGCGTATTATTTTCTAAATTCCATAGACAAGTAAATTTATTGTACCTCAATGCACAACAAAAATATTTTTACTCCTAATGTGGGGTATTTTAGAGAATCGCAGATGAATATCGTCGAAATGCCCTTTTATACGTTTTTTTGCTAAGTTTCGAGATTGTTTGCTTTATATCTTTTGAACTAATATGGATGCGTATTATTTTATACATTTTAAAAACAAGAACAAGTACATTTAATGTACAATAAAAATATTTCTACTCCTAATGTGGGACATTTTAGAGAATTGCAATTTAATAGATTAGAAACGCCCTTCTTTACGTTTTTCGCTAATTATCGACATTGTTTGCTTTATATCTTTTGAACTAATATGGATGCGTATTATTTTCTAAATTCTAAAGACAAGTAAATTTAATTTACTTTAATGTACAATAAAAATATTTCTACTCCTAATGTGGGATATTTTAGAGAATCGCAGATGAATATCGTCGAAATGCCCTTTTATACGTTTTTTGCTAAGTTTCGAGATTGTTTGCTTCATATCTTTTGAACTAATATGGATGCGTAATATTTTCTACATTCTAAAGACAAGTAAATTTAATATACTTTAATGTACAATAAAAATATTTCTATTCCTAATGTGGGATATTTTAGAGAATCGCAGATGAATACGTCGAAACGCCCTTTTATAAGTTTTTCGCAAAGTATCGAGATTGTTTGCTTTATATCTTTCGAACTAATATGGATGCACCTGGTTTTCTACATTCTAAAAACAAGTCAATTTAATTTACTTTAATCTACTATAAAAATATTCCTACTCCTAATGTCGGATATTTTAGAGAATAGCAGATGAATATCGTCGAAATGCCCTTTCGTACGTTTTTTGCTAAGTTTCGAGATTGTTTTCTTTATATCTTTTGAACTAATATGGATGCGTTATTTCTAAATTCCATAGACAAGTAAATTTATTGTACTTTAATACACAACAAAAATATTTTTACTCCTAATGTGGGGTATTTTAGAGAATCGCAGATGAATATCGTCGAAATGCCCTTTTATACGTTTTTCGCTAAGTTTCGAGATTGTTTGCTTTATATCTTTTGAACTAATATGGATGCGCCTGGTTTTCTACATTCTAAAAACAAGTCAATTTAATTTACTTTAATGTACAATAAAAATGTTTCTACTCCTAATGTGGGAATTTTAGAGAATTGCAATTTAATAGAATAGAAAAGCCCTTCTTTACGTTTTTTGCTAAGTTTCGATATTGTTTGCTTCATATCTTTTGAACTAATATGGATGCTTAATATTTTCTACATTCTAAAAACAAGTCAATTTAATTTACTTTAATCTACAATAAAAATATTCCTACTCCTAATGTCGGATATTTTAGAGAATCGCAGATGAATATCGTCGAAATGCCCTTTTAGACGTTTTTTGCTAAGTTTCGAGATTGTTCGCTTTATATCTTTTGAACTAATATGAATGCGTATTATTTTCCAAATTCTAAAGACAAGTAAATTTTTTGTACTTTAATGTACAATAAAAATATTTCTACTCCTAATGTGGGAATTTTAGAGAATTGCAATTTAATAGAATAGAAAAGCCCTTCTTTACGTTTTTTGCTAAGTTTCGATATTGTTTGCTTCATATCTTTTGAACTAATATGGATGCTTAATATTTTCTACATTCTAAAAACAAGTCAATTTAATTTACTTTAATCTACAATAAAAATATTCCTACTCCTAATGTCGGATATTTTAGAGAATCGCAGATGAATATCGTCGAAATGCCCTTTTAGACGTTTTTTGCTAAGTTCCGAGATTGTTCGCTTTATATCTTTTGAACTAATATGAATGCGTATTATTTTCCAAATTCTAAAAACAAGTAAATTTAATGTACTTTAATGTACAATCAAAATATTTCTACTCCTAATGTGGGATATTTTAGAGAATCGCATATGAATACGCCAAAACGCCGTTTTATACATTTTTTGCTAATTATCGACATTGTTTGCTTTATATCTTTCGAACTAATATGGATGCACATTGTTTTCTACATTCTAAAAACAAGTCAATTTAATGTACTTTAATGTACAATCAAAATATTTCTACTCCTAATGTGGGATATTTTAGAGAATCGCATATGAATACGCCAAAACGCCGTTTTATACATTTTTTGCTAATTATCGACATTGTTTGCTTTATATCTTTCGAACTAATATGGATGCACATTGTTTTCTACATTCTAAAAACAAGTCAATTTAATTTACTTTTATCTACAATAAAAATATTCCTACTCCTAATGTGGGATATTTTAGAGAATCGCAGATGAATATCGTCGAAATGCCCTTTTATACGTTTTTTGCTAAGTTCCGAGATTGTTCGCTTTATATCTTTTGAACTAATATGAATGCGTATTATTTTCCAAATTCTAAAGACAAGTAAATTTTTTGTACTTTAATGTACAATAAAAATATTTCTACTCCTAATGTGGGAATTTTAGAGAATTGCAATTTAATAGAATAGAAAAGCCCTTCTTTACGTTTTTTGCTAAGTTTCGATATTGTTTGCTTCATATCTTTTGAACTAATATGGATGCTTAATATTTTCTACATTCTAAAAACAAGTCAATTTAATTTACTTTAATCTACAATAAAAATATTCCTACTCCTAATGTCGGATATTTTAGAGAATCGCAGATGAATATCGTCGAAATGCCCTTTTAGACGTTTTTTGCTAAGTTTCGAGATTGTTCGCTTTATATCTTTTGAACTAATATGAATGCGTATTATTTTCCAAATTCTAAAAACAAGTAAATTTTTTGTACTTTAATGTACAATAAAAATATTTCTACTCCTAATGTGGGATATTTTAGAGAATCGCAGATTAATACGTCGAAACGCCCTTTTTTACGTTTTTCGCTAAGTATCGAGATTGTTTGCTTTATATCTTTTGAACTAATATTGATGCGTATTATTCTCTACATTCTAAAAACAAGTAAATTTAATGTACTTTAATGTACAATCAAAATATTTCTACTCCTAATGTGGGATATTTTAGAGAATCGCATATGAATACGCCAAAACGCCGTTTTATACATTTTTTGCTAATTATCGACATTGTTTGCTTTATATCTTTCGAACTAATATGGATGCACATTGTTTTCTACATTCTAAAAACAAGTCAATTTAATTTACTTTAATCTACAATAAAAATATTCCTACTCCTAATGTGGGATATTTTAGAGAATCGCAGATGAATATCGTCGAAATGCCCTTTTATACGTTTTTTGCTAAGTTCCGAGATTGTTCGCTTTATATCTTTTGAACTAATATGGATGCGTATTATTTTCTAAATCATAAAGACAAGTAAATTTATTCTACTTTAATGTACAATAAAAATATTTCTACTCCTAAGGTGGGATATTTTAGAGAATCGCAGATTAATACGTCGAAACGCCCTTTTATCTTTTGAACTAATGTGGATGCGTATTATTTTTTAAATTCTAAAGACAAGTAAATTTAATATACTTTAATGTACAATAAAAATATTTCTACTCCTAATAAGAGATCTTTTAGAAAATCGAAATTGAATTTCTTGAATACACTCTGATTCTCAGCAATGTATATTTCTATATGTCGCGGTAATGGCACTTTAATGTCAGATTTTTGAAGTGAACACTGCTGGGATTTGTGGGTAAAATATTTCGCCGCAATTTCGCTAGGATCACGATGGCCTTTTCTTATCTTTATTCTTCCATTTAAATCTGACAAAGTGCTCCACTCCTTGTTTCTGTCGATGAATAATTCACCATTCCCTGATTCAAAGATCTTTCATCGGATTTTATATCCATATTCATCTTAGTGCTTGATGTCGAATGTGGATAACTAGGATACCACGGTAATGTTGGAGCCACTGTACCATCCGAGAGATATACAGTTTGTGTCTAAAACAATCAAAAATATTAAGTATTATATCCCATGGTTTCAAACTTTCATCTAATAACAGAGCAGAGGTTTAGGTAATAAAAGTATTTTAAAAGTTATTCATGTAATATGTGTATCGTCAAGACTTTGACTGAAACAACTTTGCAAAATTGTTGTCAAAAATAAAAATAAATTTAATGTTGAATTTCAAAACTAATCGAAAGCAACAAACAACCCTCACCCCTGATTAACCAGATAAATACGTGTGAAACGTCTGCCAGCCATTCGCAGAATCTAAAAACAAACACCTGTTGATTTCGTGTCATTCCGAGCCAAACGGTAGCATAATTGCTGAATGAAGGAATCTTAGTGCGAAGGTAAGCTGCCACAGATTGATAATGTTCCAATGAATATATATTTGCAAGTTTCCATCCAATATCGCGACACAATTGTTCTGCTTGAGCAAAAGTTACTTCTGGACTATTGTGCAATTCTTCAGGAATTTTGAAACAATTTCCTCGATAACAGACATCACATCCTAAAACCATTTTTTACTACATTCTAATTTTGTTTTTTTATAAAAAGTATTGGCGAAAATAATAATGTAAAAACTTAACACTCGATGTATTTACTTGAACTTCATTATGATCATTTATTTACCTAATTAATTTCCTACCCAAAAAATAAAAATGATGGTATTTGAAATATTCAGACTTTTGTTATAGTTGAAACATGATTTAATGCTTTCGACATGTTAGCAATTGAAGTATCTTCTGAAAAAGTTTTTCATTTTGAGCTGTTTTTATCTGTTTCGAAGCTTTTTTTGAATCTCTGAGATTTGTTGATTACCGAAATTTTTAGTTTTGATACAATTGCACAACAATTGCTCGACCGGCTATTAGGATTTTCATAAATTTTGGAAAGCATTTTCCTCCTTAAACATATTGCGCATGGCATTAGTCTACGACGATACAAATTTCGTGTCTGATTATTCGTGAATACTGCCCTTTTCACAAAGTATGAACAAACGAGTTTTATTCTCTAGGAAAAGTCATAAAGCACAATATTCTCACAAAATTAATACCTTTTCCGCACTCTCTTTCCGGAAATCTAGATAACTTTATAATGGATTTATTCATTGAATCAATCCGTTCTTTCATTGTGTTGAGTACTTAATATAAAAATAAGAAAACATGTATATTTATTGAGTCATATCATAAATTAATTAAATAGAAATAAGTTTACAAGTTGCAAATTAAAGTCTGTGAAAATATATGTACTTTGTATGGGACTTACTCAAAAACTCCAAGTTTATTTAAAATGAGGTTTCGCTGATGGATGATATACAATCGTTAGAGTGCGGTACTGTGTTTATTAGGTAATCTAACTTCTCGACGTATAACATTCTTCAGAAGAACTTGTTAAATGCAGAAAAAACATGTTCAATGGCAAACAAAATATGATCAAGTTATATTAATTGGAAAAGCTAGAGCACTCAACCATACCAGATAATCTTGAATCAATTAGCCTTTGCATCGTTTCGTAATCGACTACACCCCGTCGGCCCCGTGGGCCAGTTGTGCCCATAGGACCCCTGTCACCTTTTGGCCCTTGTTTTCCTGGTATTCCGACAACACGATTCGAAAACGCATCTGGTACTGAGCGTTCACACTCTTGCTTTGCCAAATAGCAAAGATTATTTAGATTTTGACAAAGATCAGAATTTTCGATTGAATGTGACTCAGAACATACAATCAGGTAGAAAATTACAAACAGACCGGATGCAATTTTCAGCATATTGAACAAATAAACTCGCGAACTGAAATAAATAATCCGAATCAAACTGAAAAGTAAAAGACTTATATCAAAATGCGTATGACTGCTGTTGTCGATACGTGACTCTTCCTTTATACAAGTCAAGTGTATACACATTCTAGCACTAATAACAGATGATTTAAATTTAAAACAATTCGTCCTCATTTTATCATTAAATTTTTTTTTAATATATTACCAAATTACATCTTTCATAGGACTCAACCCACATCTAACGAATCGGCTCAATCAACCACGAAAGCCGTTTTGTGACTAGTTTCTCATTAATGAAACGTAATCCATCTATTCTACAATTAAATAGTGAAGTTATTTTTAAAACCTTTTCTTCAACTACCGTAATTTATATATTATCAAGACAGAAATTTCCTTAAAATGGATACTACTTTTCAATTTTTAACTAGTTTCACATAGTCATATGAATCCGACAATCACGTGCACTTTGTTTGCAAACGCCAATAATAATCTTGTTTTTGGCGCGCTCATCTAGGGTTGCATACCTTCTCGGGTTTATATTTATAGTAACAACATTGTGCCGAATAAGAAGATTATGTGATACTTTAGCAGACTATTTACAATACAACAAAACATTATAGAAAGCGCTCCCTATGCACTTTACTTCAGTTTAAAAAAACTCTCCCTTAGTCTTTGCCATCCAAAAATTATCCTTAAAATGAAAATTCAAATTGATTGAAATTTCGTGAGTGAGTGTGCGAGCGTTCCTTACTCTTACCTCAATTTTAAAATAGAATAAAAAACATTTAATTATCATGGAAGAATATAACCCATATATAAAAATCATATATAGATTACGCATTACCTTGTTAACTTCATTATCAAACTGTTCTTATTGGACTATCCGCTAGTATTATAAAGCCCCTTTAGTTTTCCAATGTAGGCTGTTCATGAAGACAATATTGATTTGCTGCTTAAATATATATGACCGACATGTTCAAAAATTATTGCATTTAAGATTTATATTATATTTGCATTATATTTAAAACAAATAAAATGAAGTTAAGAGGAAATATTTTGCCCAGATGTCTATATTTAGGCACTTTGATTTTACTAAATTTTTTGCATCGAATCTTACACGAAACATGTTTGTTTTGACATCTTGATCATGTTTTGATTCCAACAACATTGCTATAGATACGCAATTATATATCCGCTTCTCTGATAAATTAACCATGGGAAACAAGTTGGCATATTTACGGGAAAATAGCAAGTTTTTCACTTGAGTGCTTTTGCGACAGATCAGTTTCCTCAACAACAAACAAGCTCAGTGCATCAAAAAGATCTATTTCGTAAGAGTCATCTCTTACACTCGAATGATAATCCAAAATAAATCAAAGTTAGTGTTTCTTGTTTTTCTTTTTCAAGCAAGTTCCGAGGCACAAACTGCAATTAGGTGAGGTAAAATGATGTACGGCCGAGCAACGTTCCTGACACTTGCATCATAAAAACAACCGAACTGAAAACCCATGTGATCAACGAAAATCTCACAAGATGGTCGATGTTTCATAAGAAGCAACATGGAATTCCCAATCCACAATTACAAACATTTCAATATTTCTGACATAAAGCTATATCGGGTCGAGTAATGACAATATTGAAGCGGCAAGATGAAAATATTACTTTGCTATAGTTTCATTCAATAAGTTTTAATCAATTTCTCTAGTTAATCTTTGTCGTACCCCAGAACACCTTTTCATTGAAAAGATGGAAGTTCATTTTTATAAGTTTGCAATCGTTTTTCTAATAATTACGCTGTTGGATCAATTACATAATTCATAATGTATAACCAAGAGAAGAAACTGTTTGTTTTCGAAGTTCTTGCAAAAACGCCACAAAACACTTGCGTAATCAACTTGAGCTGTGAATACACGAAGGTGTTGGAATTGTTAAATGATACATCGCCGAAAGGATATTATTTTTTCACCTGCATAATATTTTAAATATCACAGTTCCATTAAAACAATCTAACGTGAGTGTTAGTATGCAGATAAACGCGAACGTGTTACTCTTGAATGTAAAATATAAAGATTTCAAAAATAACTCTAAATTTAACTTTCCAAATTGAAAAAAAAATTGCTTCTCAGCGTTCAACTTTTGATAAATTGTGCGGATTTCAGAATTGGGGATTATTGTGCTCATGTTGGTAAAGAAATACAAATAAGCCTAGGAAACAGGATACGTTATAACCGGAGCTCTAACATTATTGGATCATATTTTTCACAAATCGAAAATTTGTAACACTTTATTAGACATGGAATGGACCTGTGGATCGTTTTGTTATTATATTGTCGTTTGTATTCTTATTCTTCTTTTCGTGAAAAAAAAAACGCTTTTCTCTTTATCTACTGGACCAATTGCTCTGATATTTTCGGTGACTAACGATTGTTGTTGTCACTAAAGTTCATTCCTATTGTTTATTATGAAAATTTGATTGGACGTTATGAAAGTTTTGTGTGATGACGTTATTAAAATCGAGATTGCGCTCCATGTTGTGGTTCCACAATGACATTCCAGCGATCTCGCGATTATTTTGATAAGATACGGTGTATCTTGGAAAGCTAGGACATTACGGGTACCGATAGTGGTAAGTCACGGTACGGTAGCTGTTCCACAGTTCCAGCTTAGTTCAGGATATTATATTGGAGGTAAAAACGTCAGTTTGCCCCTTGTGACTATATATCTGAGCATTGATCTCTTGCTCCAGTTATGTCAATAATATAGACTCGACGCAACAAGCACGCTCGCTCAACAAGCACGTTGACCTCTACCTCCTCCTGTGGGCCGGACGCATATTTGTAAAAGGTGAGAGAAGGTAAATTATGGTAGAATTGATCGAATTACAATCTTTGCATGATATTTTACCTTGTTTCGCAACCTCCCTCTTCACAAACCGCTTTTATGCTCGTAAACTGCACATCCGACTGGGGCTGATGAGCGGACGAGACGTGGTTTACAAATTGTTTAAAATTATTCGAAGGCAAAGCCTGGAACGGTATGAATTTTCGTGCGTCGCGGCAAGCAAAAATCTATTAACAAAAATAATAAAATAGTAATATTATTTACTCATTCGACCTACACATTTTTCATATACATCATTTATTGTGGTCAATATTTGAGATCAATCAACACAAAAAATATTCTGTGTAAACGAGGAAAGATTTATATATTCAAGCATTTTAGCTATTGCTTGATGAAACTTTTTTATCACATATAAAAGGCAGGATATCTTCTCATTAAAAAATGCTTAGTTTACTTTGGTTTACTTAGTTTACTTTACTTTCCGGTTTCGAAATAGGCATGCGGTATCTTAATAGAATAATAATGACTTTATTATTTGCCCACAAAAACCAAATGCCAGATGAAATATAAGGTTGCAGTAAATGACGTACGGTGTTTGTTTGGAATGAGCAAATTGATGGCCATATGTATCTTCATTGTGGATTTATAACCTGCAATTTATTTCAAGAAAACTTGCAAATAAGTTGATGGATTGTTGTCTTTGACGTAGTTTTTAGGGTTCTGTGTTGACAGTAAAATATAACATATCGTCTTAATTCTCAGAAATGCGTTGAAACGCAACGTTTTTCTTTCGAATTAAAATGTTAATTTAAGACGAATGATGCAATCAATAACTACTGATTCGATGCATCATGCATATTTTTCGAAATCTTTGAAAATAAATTTACGAAACAATAAAATTAAAGCCATATTTGAGAAGTTTGTAATGACGAATTATTACAGAAGCAGTTGGCAAATTGACTTGTTATTTTCTCCAAAATATACATACATGCTCGATTCATAGAATAAAAATTATCTTTTTAAAGAATTGTGAGTGACTCGGTTCAATTGAAATGCAATTCTAGACATTTGAGCAAACTCACTCAACTTCGGTTTTAAAATCAATTAAAAAATATTGGTAGAAGCAAAATGATAATGACCAAGTAACTTTCAGCCCAAGGGTAATGTAGAAAGATAACATAAAATAATTCCAGCTATCTGAAAAGACAAATTCCATGCGGATTTGCGTATCTGTATTTTAAATCAAATGTTGATTGAAGCAAGTATTTTGCAAATTACTGAATCGTACAGCGACGACCCGTGCATAAATTGCAAGCATAAAAAGTTTGACAAAAACGAACGAAGATACGAAAACAGACAGCGACCGCTTCTTCAATGGGAGAGTAAAAAGTTGGGGAATATAAATATAAGCCATATTTCAATAATTTATTCACATATTTTGATGCGTTCTTGTTTGGAGTTCATTAAGGAATTATTGCAAATCTAAAAATGAACTTTGCATTAAAAATCATATTCAAAAATTGCTGCGTGACCAAATACCGTTTTATCACATATAGCCCAATTTCTTTAATCAACATAGATAATGTTTTCAGTCCTTCAAATAAAATTTTAATGAGACTTTGGGAAATCATGATTTTGATGAGACCATGTTACGAGTTTTCTAGCTGACGTAATGAGTGAAGAGCGCTGGCTGTAATTCATAGAAAAAATGCGTTTTTTGTTGTGTTGTAAATTTTCTGTTAAAATGGGATACGTTTGTCAGCAATCGGGAACTTATCTCTGAAAAACTATTAGACCACAGGCATATATGGTAGGAGTTTACGAGCATACTAATTGCCGTATCGTAGTCTGCGAATATAGAAAGTTTCAAATTCAAGTCTTTGCCGGATGAAATATAAGAGTCATTACTGCCTTATTCGAATCAACTCTAAAACATGAACGACGGGTGAAGTACAATAAGTAAACGCAATATACATTTTAAAATATTTTCCGTTTTGAAAATTGAAAAAAGCTAAACAATTGGGCTTGAAATGCATTAAAAAGTACAAATCACTTATTCAAACTCGTTGATAGCAAAAGAACTAATCAGATTCTTACTTAGACAGGACAGTTTTATTTTATCTATAGTATTTTACAGATTTCATCAGTAAGACGCCGTCCATAATTGAGCCCTTTTGTGAGAATAGTATATAAAAAAGAAAAGAATCGAAAGTAAATCTTTTGGCAATGATACAATATGTATGCAATCGAGTATTATAGAGGAAGAGCCGCCCATCGACAATGGCAATTATATGCTTCATTTACTTTTCAGTTTGCTTTGCGTTATTCATTTAAGATAATAAGTTTATTGTTTCAATATGCTGAACGTTGTATTCCGTTTGTCAGTAATTTTCTACCTGATTGTGTTTTCAAAGTCACATTCAATCGAAAATTCTGATCTTTGTCAGAATTTAAATACCTTTTGCTCTTCGGCAAAGCAACAGTGTGGAAGTTCATCAACAGATTCGCATTTTAATCGTGTTGTCGGAGTGCCAGGAAAAAGAGGTCCGAAGGGTTTTAGTGGTCCTAATGGCCCTATTGGCCCACAAGGCCCCCCGGGTGTTGTTGATTACGAAACAATACAAGGACTAATTGATTCGAGATTATCTGGTATGGTTGAGTACAATTTCGTAGCTATAACTTTTTTTTAACTTAATTTAATCATGTTTTAAGCGCTTGTCATTGAACATGTTTTTGCTGCATTCATGTTATATATATATATATTTCAAGATGCGAGATTACCTACTAAACATACTACCGCAACCCTAACAAGAATATATCATCCATGTATGAAACATCTATTATAAATATACTTAAAGAGAGAATTTTAGTCTTTGAATAACTATACAACATACAAAATACGTAGATTTATACAAATTTGGATAATAAATACGCCTTGAGATTACATGTTTTCTTTATTTTTATATTCATAGTTCTCAATGAAATGGAAGAACGAATTGATTTTATGAATAAATCCATTATAAAGTTATCTGAATTTCATGAAAAAGTGTCAGTGGAGGGTATGTATAATTTTGAGATATCTCATTTACCTTGCAATGATTCAAAATTAAGATTAAGTAAATACGTCACATGTGAAGTCTTGTATTCAAATAAGATCAAATAAACAGTTGAAATCATTTACAAAGATTACTAAGATTTTAGTTTCGCCAACAATACTTTTACTACAAAAATTAAAATGTAAATATTTCAGATTGTGATGTCTATTATAGAGGAAAATGTTTCAAGATTCCGGAAGATTTGCACAATAGTCAAGATGTAAATTTCGCTCAAGCTGAACAAATGTGTCGTAATATTGGTTGGAAACTTGCAAATATATATTCATTGGAACATTATCAATCTGTGGCAGCTTATCTTCGCACTAAGATTCCTTCCAGCAATTATGCCACCGTTTGGCTCGGAATGACACGAAATCAACAGGTGTTTGTTTTTATATTGTTCGACTGACTAGCAAAATCTCGACACGTATTCCCTTGGTTAATTAATGGACCGCTTAGTGTGACGCTTTTGGATAAGTTTAAAACAAGTCTTTATGCTTCTACAACTCACATAGTGAAAGACTAATAAGGTGATTATTATTAATTGTTTCAGACACAAACTGTATATCTATCTGATGGTACAGTGGCTCCAACATTACCATGGTATCCTGGATATCCACATTCGGCATCAACAAGCTCTAAGATGAATATGGATATAAAATCAAATGAAAAATCTCCGGATCAGGGAATGGTTAATTACTCATCGACGGAAACAAGGAGAGGAGCACTTTGTCAGATTTGAATGTAACAAACTAAAACACTTTATTACAACTATAAATTATTATCATTTTGAGGTGGCTGGTTCAATTACATTTGAGAGCTTCAAAAATTTCCATGCAACGGCTTTAAAAACATCTTCGCGTGAATCGCGTCGCGACCTTTTGATAAGAATTACTTCTAACCATTTTTATGGGAAAACGCTTTACAACGTCGAATAGAATTTTAATTTAAACAGCCAGCACAAAATGTTCAATCTATGACCGATACGAACCGTTTAAAATGTTATTAAATTAAGTAAAAAATATTTAACAATAAATTTTACTAATATAAGATTGGAAAAATGCGGCGAGGTTTTTATTATCTCCCCAGCAAAGTGATTCTCTTTTGTGAGTATGTCGCAATATTTCCCATTGGTTAGATACTGGGTTGAATGGTAGTGTAGCGAATGTGGAATGAAACTATATGGCTTTTAATGTTATTTTACACCTTTCTATTATTAGCTTATTGAATTCAATTAAATATGCCATTTTAGCAATTTTCCTGACGGTGAGTTATCGTAGCGTACGTTTTACTCATTATGCAGAGCTATCTTTGTATCGACCAATTTATGGCTTATTTTATGCTACCGTTGTTTAGTTGGGAAATGAGAATATTGTGTTTTTCATGTTTTGTGATGATAACTGATTTTGATTTCAACCGTATAACTAGTATTACGGTTTAGGTGTATATTTCGATATATCTGTTTGGTTTCAATTCAATTGTACAACTTTACAAAATACGAACATTTGGCCTTACAATATATTGTGTGCTTATTGAGCTCTGAGGAGTTTAGATTAGGGTTTAATTCCGCTATTGTATGTATATATAAAAATAATACGGGAGTAAGGACTCGCAGATATAGGCACCCATTTCCCCCATGGGACTACGTTGGTAAGTTGTATCATGTTTTCTGTTTGTTTGTTTTCAGATGTCTCGTAATAATATACACACATAGTTTCAACTAGTAGTATTTATTGAACCAATTAATTAGTGCACATTGTTCTCAAAATTAAGAAAATTACATAAGACAAGATTGAACTTTTCCAAGATCTGAAAGTTTTAGAAAATGTCCAAAGATACACCCCGATTAAAAGCTTGATAAGCGGGTAGTTCATAAGATCAGCATCATTCTAAAATCATGAAAAGATGACATCATGTTATTTGTATAAATAATGTGAGCATGATTAAAAATCGTCAATTTTTCTTTTTATGAACAATATTTCACACCTCCACTTTGCAAAAAAGGCTCTAAATAGTATTTATAAATGGAGTGTTTTACAAATATACAGTATACTAAATGAAATTTGAATTCTGACAAATATTATCTTTGAGCTCTATAGAAATATATATATACAGTATATTTGTATTACTACAGGGTTTTCGGTATCATTTGCTAAACTCTTATGTGCAAATAATTTGTAATTTTATTGTATTCATTTCATATATTCCATATACTAATTGACTAATTTCCTATTTAATCCAGTATTTGTACATAACGTAATTTTCTTCACCCCATTCAACAAAGTACTGTCAAAAATCACTAATTTGGAATCATAATTTGCTCACGTCGTTTCTTCATTATATCGGATATAAGTGAGATTCCTCATTGTTTATTTTTTTGTAGCATTCACTGGAATAGAGAACAAATAGGGTATATTACGCGTATGACAATGTATATAGTGCATGTGCAATTATTCACGAAATTTCTACGATTGACGGTATTCGTAATTGTTGGTGTACTTTTGTTTTATTATTCCCGAGATATTCCGAAAACTTCGATTAATCCACTTGTGCAGAAATAAGGATACGAATTCATTATACGCAATAAATAAAATGAGATAAATGATGTAAAGCAGGGGTGAGTAACTTGGGGCCCGCGGGCCAAATGCGGACCACGAGGAAAAATTATGCCAATTTTGAATGATGTGCGCCCGCGAAACGAGATTTAGTTTAATTTAATCAATTACGTGCAAGTAATTTCAATTTATACGCCCAATTTATTATCTATGCCCATGGCGTGATCTGATGATTAAGTAACTACTAGAAAGCGTATGTTATAGTAATTTTAAGTAAAAGTGCGATCCGCGGTTTCACCCAGTTATTTGTATCTGGCACACCTGTATTAAAGGTTGTAAAACCCTTCATGTAAAGAATGCCTTAAACATATACAGCACTTTGCATTATAGTCTTTCCATATTCTGGGTTAAATGTAGACATTGTGACAGCATGCCTGTTATCGTGTGAAATCTAATGACTTGTGTTTGATAAAATAACAATAAAGTTTCAAATGTTCTATAAATTATCTCTATCACTGACCTTTCAGTCCCATCAACGCAAATACTTTCTTTTCAAAGTTGATTGCGGCGTTGGTAGCGTAACACCTGTACTGTCCTGCATCGGCTAAATTAGCCTTCTTGATCATAAGTGTAGAACTTCCGACAACAACATCCTGACGGACGCGCTGGTCGGTTTTTGTTGTAATCAAATCACCGTCCCTGTACCAGGCTACGTCAGGATGGGGAAATCCATTAGCTGTGCACCCAATCTGAAGTTCTTCCCCTTCGTGAAGTTTTGGAGATTCTTCAGATAATGATACGGCCCACGGAGTAACTGAAATAAAATATAAATTGCTTCTGATTCTAACTAACGTAACATTTGCCTTGTGTTCGGGTTAGAGTATTTTTACAAACCTCTAAACTACAGTCTAGACTCTAGGTCGCAATGTATTCACATCTGGATCTGAAGTTATGACCCTTTAAAAACAGAGACGTTCGCAAAAGCGCGCAAATTGGTCTTTTTATTCAAATGAATCCGATAAACAAGAGCTAATGATACTAAACTTGGCATGTTGATGGACTGTTAAATTCTGCTTTCATTGATATCTTACACATGTGGCTCTTTTTAATAGTTCGAAAGTTAGGCTATTACTAAAAATGTGTCAAATTTGACACTTTTTAGACCAGAAAATTTGACGATATACTACCGAAACAGGACCCCAAAATTCTAAAATGCTACGGGAAATTCGCGCACCGTCGAAAATTCAAACCAAATGCGGACATGTCTAAGAAATAGTCGCATTGTTGAAATTGCCGTCTGATCCCTCTGTACTCATGCATAACGTGGAAATTTACAAGGAATATCGAAATGTCGAAAATTCTCACCAAATGTGTACTTGTCGAAATTGGGATATCTAATTTGATATCTGTAACATACTTTACCTCGGATTTATCTTGATTGAACAATGTGATACTTTTTTTTCTCTAGGAAAATATTGAAAATTCAAAGTACCTTTAAAAAAGGGAATCTTCACAAACCCATAAATCCCAATTTTGTCACATCTGGTTCTATATTTGAAAAGAATTTACGGCAATTCAAAACTGAGATTTTTGCAAAAGGGTCAATATTGTCTTTTCTTTTAATAACTCATTATAAAAAAAAAACTAAAAAACAAAATGGGTGAGATGGTCGGCTGTTTAATTCTGAATTTATTGACATCTCATACACGTTTCTCTTTTCAGTATTTCTAAAGTTGATATTAAAAAACGCACAATTTTGCCCTTTTTTGGCCAGAAAAATCGACATTGCGACAATAGATCTAATTTGCATAATAACCCTAAACCTATGAAAATTTCAGAAAATTCGACATTGCGACAAAATATCTAATTTGCATAACAGCCCCAAACCCATTTTCGGCCCGAAAATTGGACGATGTGACATTTTTTGATGGAAAATTTTAACTTTGTTGCAGAAAACGTCGCATTGTCGAAAATTCAATTCAAAATGTCAAAAGTTTGATACGAAATTCGAACTTTGCGACATTTTTGTAAACATTTCGAAACCAAAATTCGACTTTGTGACAAAATCAAAATCTGGCAACGCTATTCTTGTCGCAAAGTCGGTAAACTCGAAATCGTTTTTAACCTCTTGTCGGGAAACGCCGACTTTTCGACATGGATCCTACCTTTGTACAAAAATAACCGAAACATCAACTAATTCTGAAAGTTATCAAGCTATTTATTTTGAATATATATATAATTATTAATATTACCAAGTCAATCTATTGGTAAAATGTATGATTTGACCGAAACTAGTATCAATATTAAATACATAACCAGAAAATATTTAATTTTTCACAAAGCTAACAAAACGTTTTCATGCTTGTTTAAAGGAGATTCAGGATGGTCTAACGATTAGAACAGTTCAGATTTGCGATATTTTGCTTTGGATTCCCATTGGTGTTTGTGAAAGTTTCTCTCGATAACATAACTTGTAGTTAAACGCTTATGAGACTTACTCTATGAGGCTTCAGAAAAATTTACGGAAAAATTATTTGAAATAAAACTAGGAAGATTCTCTTTGTCATCAATAAAATCTGAATATGAATGCTCATTAAACTTACCTACTTCACACACATAAGGAAGTGAAGTTTTTGTACAATCAGATACATCAAATTCATTGCGTCTCATGTAAACGCATTTACCATATTTTGAAGCTATCCAATAATTTTCATCCAGGTTTCTGTAAAGGTTTGTAATAAATAGATTACAAAGCTGATTTTCATATTTTTTATTGATGGTAATATCGCAATTGTGCAAAATATTGGATGTCTCTTAAGATAATTGTGTGGTCATAAGAATGCAATATTTTTATGTTAAATAGGGTGTGGAAACAAACATTTATTGCATTGCATAAAATCTGATATTTAAAATATAAGTTTAGTATAATTGGGATAAATTCACTCTTTCCCAGTGACATCACTTTATTGATATTTTAAATCCTTGCGACAGTTAAGTCCAGACCAGCAGAAACTAAAGAATTTCACAAACGACAAAATCACAAGCGTCAATTTTTCTAGTTTCTGGAATTGGATTCTATATTGAATTTTTGATAACTCGCCAAGTAAGAAATAGCAATCGGTTTGATCAAAGTTGAATAAGCTTTTTTCCAGCTCCATAATCCGTGGAGAATTCGATGTTATTCATGTGACAAGCAATAGCTTGTGATTGATTACCTCGCAAATCTTTCATGAATAACTTTTAACTCCTCTATGCTATCTACACGAGCAAGTCTCATTCCTTTGCTTTCACATTCTCTTTGAGCTCCCCAATAGGTTGTTTGTGAGTTGTATTCAGAGATGACGTCACTGTGCTCAAGCACTGCGTAGTGAGCCGAAGTCTGTCTACTGGTAGCTTTGTGAAATGTGATAGGACAAAACTTCAACAGAATTGTCGGATAAAACTTCAATTTCGATATCTTATAATAAACCACATTCCATATTGAAATCCTGATTTGATCATCAAAACGTTTTGGAACTGAATGAAACTTAATATTCAAACTTATAGTTCGTTGAACAACATTGTAATTCTCCTTTACAACAAATTACACAATTCGAGGGTTCCATTACATTTGAACCCACGTACATTTGAACCCATGACAATTGCACCTGTATGCTATTGCACCTATGGAATTTTTTATTTGTTCACCGGATAGTTAAACCCATACTAACCCTAACCCATGGGTTTTAGCACCCGCATATAGATTGAACCCGTGGATATACGCATGGGTTCAAATGTACATGGGTTCGAATGTACGGTCACCCAATTCGAGAACAAGTACTGTGAAAAATTAAACTCTTAATATATGAAACTGCAATTTATTTATTTGAATGCATTCTAAGCTAATTTTAAAGGTTTATTCATCGCCCCATGGCTATAGGATTGAAATTCTTTAAGTACATGATTTTGAATGAGACAATTATTTTAGAAGAAATATAAATTACTTTGATATACAGCTCTTACCTAATTTCAATACTCTAGTACAGAAAAAAATCATTCTCACAAACGATGTAATAGAATTGAAATGAAATAACCTATTTGACAGATGAAGCTATTTGAATCTGTACAAGTTCTATCGTTCCAATAGAATCCTGTTGACTCCGCACAGTCTTCCGTTCCCCAACTGTTGCTTGGTGCACCTGGCTCCCTTTATGAGAACATAAATGTACACTATCAATGTCGAATATATGGTTCGTTGAAGAAAGAATCATAGGCACTAATGCTACCGCCCGATCTGTTAAACTGGTGGCTCTACGTGAATTTGTTTTAAGATATCATCACCAGTGCGTCATTTTAATCTGGCTATTTGTTTCACTGGAAGCCCTTACTCGATTCAAATATATTGGTATATTTGTCATCAGAATAAATTTATATTTGCTCAGCGCGTCAGTGGTGGCTTACACCTCTAGTGTGGGCACAGAATATAGGGAATACTGATACAATTTGAGTAAAAATATACAAACCACTTGTTATAGCCATTGTTGACAGATTTTCCATTTGTCCATCTAACTAAACCAACCTTCTGTAGTAAAATCATTTCCTCCAATCCAAGCTCGACTGCAAAAAGTAGCGAAAAAATATACACATGCAGAGGAGCTTACTTATTTCACATTGAATAACATTCAAAACTCACCTGGCAGTTGGAATGATGGATTCTGCTGCCACATTAAGATTAGAACTGTCCAATATGGCTAGACCATCGCTACCTTTTTCTTGGCAAAGTTGTTGGGCATTGCACCAAGCTGTGTTTTCGTCGCCACCATAAAATGTTAGCGCGTAACCATCAGCATAGGCAGTTCCGTATTGATCTAAAAGGAAAATTTACGATTGCGTTATGTAACTGCCTATAATACTAATTTGAAAGTGTGACGCTTAATCGATTCATCCCTGTCGCATTTCTCAATCATAGCGTCAGTAAAGAATTTTGTCTTTATTCGTATTTTTGACACGTGTAGTTAAGAAATATCTGTGATTTTAATTATTGAATTTGCTTGGTTATTCGATACTATTCAAATGTCGCTGCGTCCTCAAACAATGATAAAGTGAACTAGTTGTTTAACAAATAGGAAATTTGCTTAGTTGACCTAGTGTACTATCATAGTCAAACGTCAAAATTCATGGTATATCAGTATGTAACAAATTTTGATATCACGGTTAGCGACATGTTGAAGCTATCATATATACACTATAGTTACTATACAAACCTGCATTTGCAAATGATACTGTGGACATTAGGATTATTGCAATGAAAACTTTCATTTTTATTTCCAAGTTTTAAACTTTGCAAGTTCCTAATTGTATCTCTCTCTGGCTCTCTCTTAGGAATTAAAACTATCTGTAATGCATTTAATTATCCCAAATTTATCGTTTCCACTTTTTTGACGTTTTATATATATAAATGTAATTACCGGCTTTCAAAACTTCTGACTAACAATTGCGACGTTCACTTATGCTGGGTTAATGGCATAGTCAGTTTCTTACTCACAAAGAAGTCATTCAAATTATAGCTGGTTTTGTATTTATAAAAACTACAGGCAATTGAAAATATAACACTGTGATATAACGCCCATTAGCTAAAACTATACAGTCAAATTTATTATTATCATTTCGTCTCTATTATAGATACTCTCAGATATCGATGAAATTGCTTAATATTACTCATTATAAAGCATGGCGCATCATTTATATTTATATATATATATATGATAAACAGACGAATACCCTTATCTTTGTCATATTAGGCTATAAAATGAGGCAGTGACGTGAAAGCAGCAGATGTTAGTTTCTCACATAAACATCAAGGAGCAATATATGAACACGAGGTCAGGTCATCTTAGCTCTTGGCTAAACATCGAGTTAAAAAATCGGCGCATAAACGTGTGGAATAATACAGTGCTACCATAATTCATGAAATTTATTGCAAGAAAAAAAACGTCTGCTGTCTATTCACCAATACTTTTTTATGTAACAACAATATGAGTATTTAGAATATAGAAGTTGAGAAAAAGTGTCGCATATATAATGATATTAATACATTTTTTTGTATATTTATATCGCTTGCTCAACTGCCTGAAAGGTTATATAAACATCGCATTTCTTAGTAAAATTTCAAAAGCTACTAATTAGACTGCATATATAGAAAAGATCAATAAGGTGTAAAAAAAAAGTACTGGCATTTAATTTAAATATGAATGCTTCAAAATCCTTATTCGCCAACAGATCATTTAGGTAACTACCACCGAATTAATATTCCAATAATTTTCCAACATTTACTCCAGTAAAGGGGGAAATACAAGTAAGAACCTGGAACTAAAAATGGGAGTTTTCATCGCAATAATTCTGATGTCCGCAGCATCTATTGCAAATGCAGGTTTGTATAGTGTATATATTATGATAGATTCAGCATTTTGCAAATCGTATATAGGATTCAAATTTAATCAGGTTATATCAAAATTTGTTATATATACTTATTTATATACCGTGCATTTTGACACTTGCTTGGATAGTCAAGTAATTATGCTGATTTCTTAATTTTTTATAAATGGCTATTGTAATATTAATGATATAATGACATTTGAACGGTGCTGAACAATTATTAGCGATTAAAATTATAGTTTTTTATTCATAATATGTTTCAAAATTGAAACATAACAAATAAGAGACAAAATTGATAATTGAGCCTATGAGATAAAAATGAGTTTATCCATTCGACAAGGATGATACATTTTAACGTATAGGACGGTTAACCCTTTCAATATGATTATGTAGTTAGTACTTTTTCCTTTGAGGTCAATACGAAACTGCTTATGCTGATGGTTACGACCTAACACTGTATGGTGACGCCGAAAACACGGCTTGGTGCAAAGCTCAACAACTTTGTGAAGAAAAAGGTAGCGATGGTCTAGCAATATTAGACAGTTCTAATCTCAATGTTGCAGCAGAATCCATCATTCCGTCAGGCGGGTGAGTGTTCAATATCATTTAATGGAAAATATGAAGTAAATATTGCAACAAGACTTGGCTCTGTATAGAAAATCCGTTCTGGTACGCGGATATATCATAGATATTCTTGCTAAACACACTATTTCATATATACTCACATCATATTAATAGAATCTAAATGTTGTGAATGATGACTGTTATTTAATTACGTCGTGACTCACGCGATCTGATCCAAAATAGTTTGCTGAGCAATAGACCTTTTTCAATTCTACTGAGAGAAACATCTTAAAGTTGACTTGAAATATTTAACATTTGCTTGTCTATTACGATGGCTATTATTGACATATATTTGTGATCAACACGGAATAGGCGAATCATAAACAGAGCCCCGCCGCATTTGTAAATTTTCTTTTTTCTATTTTTTTGTTCGCAGTCGAGCTTGGATTGGAGGAAATGATTTAACTACAGAAGGTTGGTTTAGATGGACAAATGGAAACAGTGTCAACAGTGGCTATAACAAGTGGTTTGTATATTTTTTACCGCAATTGTATTGGTATATAATTCTTCTATTTTGTTCTGTCCAAAACTTTACGAATAATACTGAGTATAATATTGACAAGCATATTGAGTTTGCCTACCAGAAGATATGTAATTGACAGTATAATTGTAAGCCACCACTGTCACGCATAGAAAAGGTAAATTCTTCCAAAGAATATTGCAATATTTTTGATTGGAGGCTTGAATTACATTAGGAGCGAGTAAGCACTTTCATCGTAACAGGTATCTGGAGTGAAGTAATGCAGAAATACTTATATCTTAAATAAAATAATATACAGTAATTAATTTAGTAAATCGGACAGTAGCATTTGTGCCCGCGATATATTCTCTAAAAAACCTTATAATCGACATTTATTAACGATTATTTATTTTCTCATAAGGAGGTCAGGTGAACCAAATGACGGATTTGGAACGGAAGACTGTATGGAAGCAATAGGCTTTAACTGGAACGATAGAACTTGTACAGATTCGAATATGTTCATTTGTCAATTGGGTAATTTAATTTAAATTTTATTGTAAGACTTGTGCATATTTTTTAGTAGAATATTAAAATCAGCGAAGTGAAACTAGGTAAGAGCTATATATATAAGTATACATATGTTCTTCTGAAATAATTTACCACAATTTAACACCATTTTAGCTGATTTAAATAATTTTAGAACTCTAACCATTTGCATCCGCTATTGTTGATTCAAAATCACAGTATTCATAGGAATTCATCCTAAAGAAAACGCATTAATAAAAATTTAATTTATTTGAATTCAAGTAATTAAATTATACTTTCATATATATTAGGAGATACAAATAAAAAATTCACGTTACTTGCCCTCGAATTGCATAATTGGTTGTAAAGAAGAAATATTCAATGAACTATAGGTTTAAAAAATAAGTTTATTAATGAATAACGAAATTATATTTCATTCGACAATTTTATTGATTTGTTTTTCCATCACATTTCACAAAGCTACCAGCAGACAGACTTCGGCTCACTACGCAGTATTTGAGTACAGTGACGCCTTTTCTCAGTACAACTCAAAAGCAAACTATTGGGAGGCTCAAAGAGAATGTGAAAACAAAGGAATGAGACTTGCTCGTGTAGATAGCATAGAGGAGTTTGAAGTTATTCAAAAAAAAATTGCGAGGTAATCAATCACATGTATTTCTTGCCAATTACGTCACATGAACAACAGTGCAACACTAAATTTTCACGGGTTATGGGATTTGGAAAAATGCCTTAATTCAATTGCGACATTCAACGCCAAGCAAACCCGGTTCAGACTCCTAATTTGGCGGGTTATCAAACATTTATTTATGGGTCCATTCCCAGAATCTAAATAAAAATTTGAGCAGGAGAATGTTTCTTTTTGTAAGATTTTGTACTCATTATGGAAAATACGACCCCGGCTCTAGCGTCGACTTAACTGCCACGAGTAAAAGAAAGTCATGTCACTGGGAAAGAGTGGTCTAAACTCTTACGCGTTGCTTTATGGCCTGAATTAGGAAGTAGATTGTAAGTATATGGAGAATTAATATTATATATACTATATATAGCAGTTTTCAAGCTAATAAGAAGATTGGGCATCCGACTTCAATTTTTCACAATTGAAAACTGAAATCATCATTTTACTATGTTAAATCGCAGGAACCGGGATGGTAAATATTGGATAGCTTCGAAATATGATAAATGCGTTTACATGAGTCACAATGAATTCGATGTAACTGATTGTACAAAAACTTCACTTCCTTATGTATGCGAAGTAGGTAAGTTCATTATGCATTCACATTCAGATTTTACTGATTAATATAATAAATAGAATCCTCAGTTTTATTTCAAATATTTTTTCTGTAAATTTGTCTTAAGCCTCACAGCCATTTGACTACAAGTAATGGTTTTCAAAACGTCGATACACCTTTCATAAAAACCAATTGGAATCTAGCAAGCACAACTGTCGCAAAAACTGAATGGTCATAAACGTCAGACCCTCCTGAATTTCCTTCAATTAAACAAGCTTGAAAACTGTCCGCCAGCTGAGAATTGAGTCTTTTCTGGTTATGTAGTACTAAAGTATGTAATGTAATAACTAAGTACTAAGTAAGTACTAAAAAGTAATTTTTCATACTAGTTACAGTAATATCTTTTAACAGTGTATTGATGTCGTGATATTAAAAGACATAAATATATATATGTATATGATCAAAAGAAATAGCATGATACTCTATCTTATGTTACCACTTAAGATTAGTTGATGGTTGCCCAAAAGCAAATGTTACATTACAGTAAGAATCAGAAACAAAAACTTTTATTCTAGTTACTCCATGGGCGGTATCGTTATCTGATGAATCTCCAAAACTTCGAGAAGGGGAAGACCTCCAGATTGAGTGCACAGCTAAAGGATTCCCACTTCCTGACGTAGCCTGGTACAGGGACGGTGATAGAATTACAATGGAAACCGACCAGCGTGTCCATCAGGCTGTTGTTGCCGGAGGTTCTACTCTCGTGATCAAGAAGGCTGATTTAGCTGATGCAGGACAGTACAGGTGTTACGCTACCAACGCCGCAATAAACTTTGAAAATAAAGTATTTGCTTTGTTGGGGCTGAAAGGTTAGTCGACAAAATTTTCAGCTTTGCATTTTTATTGTTATTTCTTCATTCACACAGGAAGTCACCAGACACACAATAACAGACATGCTCTTACAATGTCCACCAATACCCCAGACTATAATGGAAAGAATTGCATAAAGTGCCTCCTCTACATCATTCTATCTTTTGATTTATCTATTGGAATAATAAATTTCTATCCTTATTTCTTATACAAATGCACTAATCAAAGTGTTCGGCAATACTTAAAAAAACAATTTTACGAACAATTACAAATTTTGACAATCTCATCAATTTTGTAAGATTTGTGCAAGCACTACACATTGTCAAAAAACTCCTATACCATACTTGTTTTATATTTCAGTGTATGCCACTGGAAAAGAAATGCCAGTAGAAGGCCCACGTATATCTGAATTAATGAAGAAACTGATAAAATTATAGTAAGTTGCGGTGAACAAGATAAAAACACATAAAAAGTGGGTGCTCCCGACGTATGTACACCAAGAGGGCGCACAATCTGAACATAGTATGTGTACCAGGTTGGGGTTCAGGTTGTGCGCCATCTTAGTGCACATACTTCCGGATCGCCAATAAGTGACCTTAGTAAATTATCATACCAGATGAGGAAATTGAATGTAGCAAATAGTATTTACATATACTGGATGAAATATAAAATTATGGGCCAATTAGTCGAAGAAGTATATAAAATCTTAAATAAAGTCATCTTTCCATGATTTCAGAATGATGCTGATCTGATGAATTCCCTGCTCACAAATCTTTCTAATTGAGCTATATCTTTGAACATTTTCTAGAACTTTCAGATCTTGGAAAATTTCAATTTTGTTTTACGGATTTTGTTTTTTTGGTAATGCTGATGAAGAGACGCGATCCAGTAACAAAGGCCACTAATTAATTGTTACAATAAATACTTGTTGACATTATGCGTTTATATTATCATGAGAGGCTAGAGACAAACAGAGCTCGAGACAACTAACCAATTTAGGGTACTCCCGAAGTATGCGAACCATGATGACGGACATCGGAACGTAACATGGGTAACAGGTTAGGGTTAGGCGATAATTTTTTTCCAATTTTCCTTAGTTTAGTCCTATTATCAGTTCGAAGACTAGCCAAGAGCCTCCCGTAGTATTTATACCTAAAATTATGGCCTAACCCTAACCTGGTACACATATTACGTTCCGATGTCCGCCATCTTGGTTCGCATACTTCGGGAGCCCCCAATTTAGTACTATGACACACTTTTACAAGCAAAGACACAAAATATTTATCCAATATCGTGTAAAAATTCCGGAAAGCTGTTGACTAGATAGGTGGTTTCCAAATTTTCAATTTTCAGGGGTTTCCCCAGTTTTCATAAAATCAAAGCCTACAGATACTCTCGACCCCACAACTAGAAACGTTCAGCAACTTCAAAAATCAATATATAAGTTTAATTACAACGTACCTGTATATCGACTGCAAGTTGGCGTCGGTGAACATAGGCCTAAAAATATACGAACGAGTCCGGCAATGCGTTGGAAAAACGGGGAATCCTAAAAAGATTTGACAACACATGACATTGTATGAAAGCCACGGTGTAATATTCTCTTAGATCAGAATTATAGCGGTTCTTTGGCGAAATGTGGATGTACTTGATAAAATGTGGTAGATTGTAAGGATGCTACAATATTTGGAAATAGTAAGATTGTTTCTAAATATACATTAATTCAAAATCTTATTTAGTAGGCTATATTCCAATAGCTGTTTATTATTTTTAGTTCTATATTAACATATTACAGATTGCTCTTAATTCGAAACTGAAACATAGCATGAGTGTAAAATAAGAAAAAGCGTGTACGGAATCACATCTTTTAAGTGCCTTTATTATGCTAGAACTTGTTGTAGTTTTGTGTTGACTACTCGGAACGCTTCGGAATTTTTTGTGAAACATCTAAATACGTAATATTGCAATACGAAAACAAAACACGTAGCTTACTAGTATAGAATTAACACAGCGCTTTCGCGAGTGATCGAAACCTAAAGAATAATAATTACTCGATCAAGACCCCGCCTGTCAATCAATACCATTATCAATAAAATCCTGATTAAGGTCCAATCGCCGAATAAGGCAACTTTGCTCCGTGTTTTCGATAGCCAAGCGGCTACACTGGTACAAAATCACAAACCAACAAAATTTCTCGCAACCTGGCAAAAATCCGTTCGCGTACCATCGGGTCAACTACTCATTGGGATGTAATATGATCAAAAAAGTTATAAAAAGGGAAATATTATTGGCGCTCGTACCATTGTTACTCAATTACATTTAGGCTACTAATACCGGTACCTGCCGACCAGCTGGAAAGGTACCGCGCAACTTTATCGAGCAATTTTGGCGCCGTTTGGGCAATAAATGGTCGAGTTATTGCTAAAAATTAGGCACTTTTATGGTACCTGCCGACTAAAACAAATTTCGCTTTTCAACTTTCAAATCCTTGTCACTTATGTGCACATGTTTGAGAGAAATTAGGCAACCCCGAAAAATCGTCACGCGACCCCATCGAGAGTCGCGACCCACAGTTTGGGAACCGCTGGACTAGATTATATATCTACATGGCTGAAGATTGTGATTGAACTTTCATTATATTAGGGAAATATTCAAAAGACAACACACCTGGATCAACTACACAATGATATATTAAATATTTATTATTGACAATTATGTATTGATTTAGCCTGTGTTTAAGTCTAATATAGAAGGGGATATGCTCAACTTATTTGTAATTATTCTGTTGACACACCCGATTCTGCATGTATATCGCCATGTAAATTGTGGTGTGGAATACTTTGATTGACTGACATAAATGCGTCATTAAATTATGAAATAAAGTCACGAAGAAGAGTGTTTATCACAGGAATATATATATATATTATTATAATTTTCAACACATAACAAATCTAAAATACATATCACGCATGTAATGGTCCTTAACCATCTATCCCGTAAAAAGCAAATTTGTGGCAGTGATCACCAAAAATTGTATAACGTAAGAAAGTCGGTTGCCTCTCGAATAATTTGAATTATACGACTGAAGTAAGTAGAGGTGGCAAAGGTTAATTCAGTTTTTAATGATATTCAAGTGTTTCCAGTTGTAAATTCAAATGAAATAAAAAAAATACCAAAAAATGTCACCGAATACAGGTGCTACTTTACTTCGGGTAAAGTGCAGACGATTGATTGAATGATTAAAACACTAAAAACGAACCAGGCATTAAAATCTTAACCTGCTCATTTTGAAAAATTGTAAGTCTCGAATAAAAGTCCGAGTAAATTTGACAACGCATACCTGGATATCTGCTCCTCCGCAATACCGCGTACACCTCTCCGAACCCAACCCCAATATTTAGGACATATGGGTGGTGGGATTCAATTTTTTTGTCAGCCGGTTCTATCACAAAAGTCATATTTTACATCCGGTTTATTTACAAAAAATCATTGACAGTAACCAGTAATACTAACCGGTTCGCTGATCTCGTAAAATTTCGGAAGACGGTTCTATAGAACCGGCTGAATCCCACTACTACATATATATATATATATATATATATGCAACAATAATAGGCATCTGGAAAAGCGTTGTAAAGCGGGTAGACACATGTAGGCGACCACATATTTGAGCATTTCTATTTTGTTCCATGAGATATTCGATTCCATCTCATATCAGACAAAATAGGTAGTCGATTTGACCTCCAGAATTAGACTCACTGATAAAGATACCATCGGAATCGTTGACCATCTCTCTGGTGTTTTGATATCCGTGCGCTAGTCGGGTCATAGCCTACCTGGGGATATTCCATCTATCTTTTCACGAACGCATGTTTGTAATTGGCCAAAAGCTGATGCTTCCGGAGTATTCGTACTAAGATGGCGCACAACCTGAACTTAGTATGTGTAAGCGTATATTACAATTATGATGACTTGATGCGAATACAAGATACACCTAATTTGCATATTACAGTCACCATTGACACTTCTCGTCAGGATAAAATTATTCGAATACTGTATATATATTACCGGTGGTGCCACTACCAATGACAGAACGAACCTATATATTATAGGATTTAAAGTTGATGGATACTTTCTGGAAGTGACTACAGATAATTTTTTTTTTGTCAGTTACTCGAACAAAATCGCTAATTTGAGCTCAGTTTTATTTTCGTGATTGATCGTGGGCGATCAATAATAGCCTATTTCTCAAATAAAATTGTAAAATGCGACAGGCAACGAAGCCAGTGATTAAATAATTTAGGCTGTTACCAAATTATGTCCATGTCGTCCACGCAACTGCCCTTTTAACATTTTGAAGTATTTCATCTCACCAACCCACAAACATAGACAAAAATTATTGGGAAATGTTTAGGGGTAACAGCTTTTGCGATTGAAGAAGTAGCCGACTCAGAAACATTAATTAACAACCTTTTTATTGGGGAGACTTAGTTCGGACAGATTATTCGTTGGGTTAAAAAATTAAAATTGTTGTGGTAATTATAGTCGTATCAATTAAAAATGTTTATTAAAATAAATTAAAGTAACAATAAAACAGGAATGCTCACGTTTTGAAGAAGCCTAGAACAACTAATTGGCAAAAGGATCGCTAATTATTTTATATTGATAAGTGAAAATCATATTGGGTGAGAAAAACCAGCTTGTTAGTTAAAAACAAGAAAGCTATGTTCAAATATATGGATGCGTCACAAGGTGCCACTATTTTTTTTTTATATTGACACATAAAAACGAATCCCAGTTCACAGAAATCATTGAAATAAATAAAAGTAATAGCCTTCTGCCAAAAAAATCAATCTTTAACCATTGGAAATGTCAAAGCATTTGGTCCAGTAATCAAAGAGAAATGCGATTTAAAAAAAAAACGTTTCAAGGAACAACAAGAAGAAGAAGAGTGCCAGCATAAAATGCAAAACAATCGTTATGTCCACTGACATGTCCAAAAAGTATATCCAAGCACAAAGCAGACACTCGTCATTATTAGAACCATACACAAATGTATTGGCATGCGACTAGAAGTGCATCCTTTGAAATATGATTCTGCACATCACTCATTGAAAAGTTTTATTCTTTGCCTCATTCAAATCTCAATATATTTTATTAGCTTTGAAATTTGAATTGCAAGTTTGAAACATAACACCATGGACCTTTCCCCGACCTTTGACCCCCGAAAAATTCTTCCTATACTTTACCATTGCAACATATTCAGGGCTATTTTAAGAGCGCTTTTGCGAGTTGGCGCCTGTAAAATGGGGTATGTGTTGCAAACCATCATTATGATTCATCGCATACAACAATCTGTTTTTTAAAAGTACCGGTAAAGAATTTTAGCCTGGTCTATCATAGCTATTTCTACACTAATTTTTTATTACTTAAGTTA